TGAGTTTCTGGTCTCTTTTTGCAATTTCTTCAATGATAAAATAGCAGATTTGGTCCTCCACATTTCGTATGATGAGCACTTAGATCCCAAAACTCAAGATTCATTCATTTAGGTCCCAAGGAGGCGCCCTTCTTCTTGTAATTCAGTCCCTCAACTTTCAAAAGATACTCAATTAATCCTAAAAACTCTTATTTTTATGCATGTAAGTCCTTTTATGCACAAAGAATGAAGACAATGTAAAATCTCATAAAATTCATCCAAATATCAATAATATCAAGACAAAATTTCTACATTAATATCTATATAAATTCAATTCAAGTCATCAAGGCTGGCGGCCATTGAATTTTCTGACTATGCTTTTGTTTGGTGGGATCAATTGGTGATAAATAGGCATCGGAATCGAAAGACTCTTCGCTAGCTGACTGCATATTAAGTTCCACCTTTGCGTGCAGAAGCAACTGTAAATAATAACTTTCGAGTAAAAATCCACTTACACACAAGTTTTACACATCATATTTAAACAAAATTTCAACTATTCATTTTTTTACTTTCAATGGTTGAAATTTATTTATATTTATTAAAGATAATTATTGTTTTTATCTAAAAAGTCGTAATAAGTCTCAACTATTAAAAATTAAAAAGATTAATAATTAAAATTTTATGCAAGTGTAGTGTGTAAAATTTATGTGTGAGAGTAGATCCCTTTCACAACTTTCGGGGTTCCATTTGCTTTAAGGAGTGCCATTACCATCTCCTTCATTATGTATGAACTATATATATATACACATACAGATTTAAAATTCCTCTCTTTTTTTTTTTCTTTTTTTTTCTTTTTTTTTTTTGTATTTACGGTTAGGTGTCCTAATTTAGCTCGAGACTAACCCTCTTCGAGGAATCTTAAAAGTAGCCTAATATATTTAAGAAAATTTTTTAAAACTTGAACCTAAATTTAACTTACAGGAGAACACTTGCTTACCTCCTTGGAGTTAAAATTTCTCCTTATGTAAACCTTTTCCATTCCATGCAATAGAAAACGCAAGTGAAGGACCCAAATGCTATCATTTCAAAAAACTTTTAACAATTGGGACAAATGCAACCAAATGGCTAGATGTACACTCCTATTCTGCCCCCAGCAATTCCAATGCTAAGATAAGATTTTTTAACTCAAATGTGATATTGAGGATCACATCATGGGGTTTAAGATAACTTAGTGTGAGGAGATGAGGGATCTTGGACTGTGAAAGAGTGAAGTCTTCGAAGAAGACTTCACTCTTGGCCGACTTAGTGAGTCGTGATACCCTTTTCAATTGGTACCTCAGTCAGCGCAGCAGCCATGTTTGCAGACAGTCTCCTCTTAATTTGGGAGGTTGAAGCTTTTCTTCCAGCCGCCACTGCCAAAATTTTGGGCTGGAGATTTGGGAGGAAAGGGTTTACTTTATAGTCGGACCATTTTAGTTCTTCTTTAGTTGGGCCTTTTGTGAAGCCCATAAAAAACAAAATACGAGACCCGATTGAAGCCTGAAGTAAAAAATAAATAAATAAATAAAATAAAATAAAATAAAAGAATGATTCCCTTGCTGGGGCTCGAACCCGGGATTTGGGTGAAGTTATTATTATATCTTAAATAATTAATATTATATTTTTTAATATAATTATTGATTATATTTTTATATTAAAATATAAAATTTTAATCAATAACATTAAATTTAATAAATTTTAAAAAATTATAATTAAATAAAAGAATGCTACAAGCTGGAAAGTTTCCGCAATGATATACGTACAATTATATAATTATGGGAAAAGCCTACGTCAAACTCGAATTAAAAA